AGGAAGAGATAAATTTGGCTCGTGTAGAAGAATAATGGAAATATTTGTCTGTATTTGTGTATGTTAACTAGATAACGATATATGATAATAGAAACGACGGACAGCCGGGCAATCACAGACCTATTGACGGACAGAAAGAGAAACATTTAGGTAAATAGACAGACAGATATCCCCAATAAAATAAGTTTTTCATAAATGTCTGTAAAAATCACAAAATCTCTCTGTGGGTTCTACGACCCCATTTTAGGAGTAAAAAATAGTCTATCTTCTTAACAAGTATGTCGTAAAAGTCGACTAAGTATGTGTTTACTTTGAAGCCGGAATGCATCTGCCTGAGTGGCAAGAAATCAATACTCTACATACCAGTGAGTCAGATCGGCTTGCAGGTAAAGGAACTGTGGAAGGCGGACAACCCATTGATCATGCTGACATTCTAAATGCTCTACGAGAAGTAAGACGTTTGCGCGAACCAAGTGACGACTTAATCTGCAACCATGACCAGACTACAAGAACATGTTCAAAAAAAAAAAAAAAAACCCAAAGAAGAATAGGAAACCAACCCAGAACTAGTGTCGTGAGCTGCCATACGCTGCTGAATTTACTAAGAAGGGGATCCGAGCACTTATGGACTGAATGGTTCGATGTGCAATGAGGATAGTCTGTCGAGTAACTAACTAACTAACTTAGTAAGATTAGTAAAAATGAATGTACACACACAAAGTTCTTGAATAAGACTAAAGTCTAAAAGTAGACGAACAACCAGGATTTTTCGACGGGGTTTACAGCCGTTGAACCTAAAGGAAAGAAAGGAAGGAATAACACATTTGTAAAGTCTAGTAAAAAATTGAGGAGCTTATACAAGCACACCAAACTGATACAATGTGTCCCTCCTTAGAGCAAAAGAATTTGCCGGTAAAGGCGAAGATGCTATCATGTGTGCTGAGTTCACTCCCATGGAGGATGATCCGTTCTACAAGTTTCAGTTGTCTCGGCACAACAGTAAGTTTATGTTGGCATTAAACGGTGCAGTGTGTTGTTTGTGTGATTTCTATTTTTTAAAATTCGAAATCTGTGACCAATCGGCACTTGGTGGGTAATGTGGTCATCACCACGCCAGCCGCATTTACTTCCCAGCGACTGTAACTAGTGGTACCCACTCCAGACTGGGTCGACCTGAAAGCGAAGGTGATTTCTGAAAGGCATGTGACTTGTGCTAAAGCCTGTCCAACTGCCTCCGCCCTGCTCCATCTGCACTATTTTCCACGATTCTGCGCCGCTGACGAGTGAATAAATATTTAACTAACTTATTACCCCCCCCCCCCTTCTCTCTCTCTCTCTCTCTCCTCCGCACCGACCCCCCCCCCACACACACACACCTTCTCTCTCTCCGCACCCGACGTTTCCCCCCCCCCCCTATTTTACAGACTAAACATTACGGAAAATCCTGGTTTTCGCCCATTTCTGAATTTAGGTCTTATTCCAGTGTGAGTTTTGCGTGCACATCCGTTTTACAGATCTCGCAGAATATGTATTCCTTGCCTCTCAGCCAAATGCAGTCCGGCCTCGAAGTAGGGCAACCCACTAAGATCCAAGCCAGCTGGGCAGATCCCAGATAACCAGTCCAACCTACAAATAACTGATAATTAGCTCACCAGTAATGCCTACACTGTGAATTAACCCGATGTACCGTGGACCGTGCGTACGGCGATCGAAACCCACTGCTGGCTGCATGGATTGTTATCGTGGTATGGGATGTCGCAGGTCAACCCAGCCTAAAATGGGTACCAGGAGGGGCTGTCCTGGGAAAGTAAAGACAGCCGGCGTAACTCTGACCACATTACCCACCGAGTTCTGATGGTCTGTAAAAATCTGGGCGCTCTTCCCATATGCCCGATGCGCCGAAAGGCGTGAAAAGGGATCTTTACTTTACTTTACTTACCGTGGACCGTTGATAGATTAATAAAAAACCGATGTGGAAGCTGTGGAGATGTGGTTTTATAGACGAATGATGAGAATACCCTGGACAGATAAAAAAAAAAGAGAAATAAGGATGTCTTAAAAGAAACTGACTCAAGAAGAAAACTGATTGCCTACATCAGGAAGATACTATGTACATCTTTTGTTGTGTGATGAGAACGAGAAAACTGGAGTAGAGCGTGATAGTAGGAAAGTTGGATGGGAGGAGAGGCAGAGGGAGACCGAGAGAAAAGATGCTGGACAGTTTGACATCATGGCATGGAGGATCTTCTGTGGGAGAATTGAATGAATGACCTTCAAGACAGAAGGTTGTGGATAGACATGACTACCACGGCATGGACTTTAGGAAGAAGAACCTAGGTGACCGAATCCCTGTAGTATAGCGGCTAGACGCTGGCTGCGGATCGGAAGGTCCTTGAGTGGGTACCAGGTACAAGTGCTGAGAAGAAAAGGCGACCGGCCTGACGCTGACCACATCACCCAGCACGTGCTTATTTGTCTATAAAATATAGGTCTAGCCCTATATACCCCATACACCTGAAGGCTTGGAGAATAGTCCTTTAATATTTTTTATAACTTTGGTGACCAGCGCGGTTAAGGATGATTATATAATTAATAATATTTTGAATAAATAATTGATTTCAATCATGCATGCATCCATGACGTTGAAGATATTACGAATTTCTCCAGGCGGAAATCTTTTGGACGGCCAGCTGAAAACAGTGCCCAGCTCTAAACCAGTGTTTGTCCACGTCGATTGTGACTGGATAGGCAGCCCAGCCAGACCGGAATTTTTGTATCCATAATTTCAATTTCAGAAGATTTCCATATCCATGCCTTGAAATGCTTTTTTGATTGTAAAAATGATTAATGATTATAAAGTCATCATCATCGTCATCATCATCATCATCATCATGTACCCGGTAGATAAGCATGGGCGGTCATGTTCGCCATCTCACACGATCACCAGAATCAAGGATCAAGTCAGTGCTATTGTTTCACCCCATCCATATGACTAAAACTATCCAGGTATCAACCTTGCTCCTTTTCCATAATTTTGCCTGTTGTCACCTGTGACTAGATCCCTACTCATTTCCTTAATATATCCAAGAAATACTTACATCAAATTATTAACAGCTATTTTACGTTTTTTTGTTTGTTTTATCTGTCTCGATGATGACTTTTTTTTTAAAAACTTTTTTCCCCTCCATGATTGCAGTCACTAGGATTAACATGTCAAGGATGAGAATCATACAGGTACACATGTTGGTAAGCCCCTTAAAAGGGATATTATTATAGCACACTTATACTGGGGCACACAGAATTAAGGACAAAATCACAACACAGAGGAATTGTCTTCTTCTTCGCGTTTACCTGCTGTAAACTCCGGTGGAAACTTCTGGTTGCTCGTCCACTTCTGGACTTTAGTCCTGTTCCAAAAACTGAGTGTTGCATGCACATCTGTTTCACAGGTCAACT